CTGTTGTAATTCCTACACCGTTTACCTGATTTGGATGTAAATACCCTCAAATTAAAGCCGACAGTCTGCAGTTAAAGCACATCTTGTTCCTTTCATTTCAAATCCATTGTGGTGGTGTATAGAGCCAAAAATGTTAGAATTGTGTCCATGTCCCAATATTTATGGACCTGACTGTAGGTGGAGTGCTGCAAAGATGGTTGTTCTTCTGGAAGGTTCTCCTCTCTCCACAGAAAAAAGCTGGAGCTCTTTCAGTGACCATCGGGTGCTTGGTTACCTCCCTGGATAAGGCCCTTCTCCCTCGATCGCTCATTTTGACCGGGCGACCCGCTCTAGGAAGATTCCTGGTGGTTACAAACGTCTTCCATTTATGGATGATGGACGGCACTGTACTCATTGGGACCTTCAAAGCTGCAGAAATTTCTCTGTACCTTTCCCCAGATCTATCCCTTGATACAATCCTGTCTCGGAAGTCTACGGACAATTCCTTGGACTTCATGGCTTGGTTTGTGCTCTGACATTCACGGTTAACTGAGACCTTATATCGACAGGTTTATGCCTTTCCTAATCATGTCCAATCAACTGAATTTCCCACAGGTGGACTCCAATCAAGTTGTGGAAATATCTCAAGGATGATCAGTGCGAACAGGATGCACCAGAGCTCAGTTTTGAGTGTAATGGCAAAGGCTGTGAATACTTAGTACATGTGTTTTTTTTTTTCGTTTTTTTATAAATTGCAAAGATTTCAAAACAAACTTCTTTCACATTGTCATTATGAGGTATTGTTTGTAGAATGCTGAAGAGAAAAATGAATTTAACCCATTTTGGAATAAGGCTGTAACATAACAAAATGTGGCAAAAGTTAAATGTTGTGAATACTTTCTGAATGCATTGTATAATGAGGTTCTTATTAAAATTTGGAATTCATCCAGTATACTTTCAATATAGTTTATATCATTCATAGGTTAGTTTTTCTGTTTTCTTCTTAGTAGGATAGGAGGATTGAATAAAGGATAAAACACTGTAAACTAAAATTTCCAACAGCTTCAGTTTACAAATTACACATTTTAACATCTAAACGTTTAGTTAATAAAACACATGTCACAATGGTGATATATTAACCTCCATTCTTATGTATTGTTATTTAATCCCAGGAGTCTGTCTACTTGGAATTATTTTTTTCCATTGTATTCCTTATAGAAACTCTAGAACAACGTCAGCCAGAAGATTGCACATATTTTTAGAAGCAAAAACCCATGAGATAATCTTTGTAAAATAACTTTTACGTAAAAAAAAATACTACAAAAATTAGTAACACATGCTGCAGTTAGTTCAGCCCAGATATTCAATGACATCTTTAGGCCATGTACATAGGAGTTCAGCTTATATAAGAGCAGTGTGTACAGAAAGCATTTACAAAGCTTTCAGCATGCATCTAAAAGGCTGAAACGTACCCTTCAACAGTTTCTGGAGGTTAAATACAGATCCTAATGGGACAGCTGTTACTTTAAAGTATAACTAAAGGCCAAACTTTTTTTTTTTTTTTTTTGGATAGAGTGGAAAGATATTAGAACACTTGTCAGTTTTTAATGCGCTTTGTGCCCCCATTAAGGAGATTCACCCTCTTTATTTGTCCTGTTTACCATTATCATTGAAAGTAAAAGAAAATCCCAAACTTTGGGTTGTCCCCAGTAAAGTAATAGAGGTGACATTTTCCAATGGGAACACTAGTTCTGGTGACCTTAAGGTCCCCAAAGAATTCCCTTAATTTGCAGGGATTCCTTCTCACTTCCTGTTTGGGTATGGGACAGGAAGTGAAGGGAAATCTCCCCAATGGGACACAGATGATGAAAAAAAAAAAAAATCTGACAGTAGTTGTTATAACCCTTCCTTTCTCTATCCAAAATGGAAAAAAAAGTCTTGTCTATAGTTATACTTTAAGTAAGCAGCTAGCAGGCTTTGGTAAGCGTAAGCGCTACCTGAAACCTTGTTGAAGCTATGACAGTCATCACTCTCAGCGGAGGTGAAAACTCAGCGATCATGAGATTGCTGAGTTCTCACATTTAGAGCCTTACAGGTGGATTCAGCATCAGTCTGATGCTGCATCTAAGTACGATTTCAGAAAAGAGAAAAAACCTAAACCTCTCTTTTAAAGACTTAATCAAAGCTGCCTGAAGCAGGCTAAATGGTTTGCACATACTGTACTTTGCAAAAACCTGCTGTACACAGTGCTCTTTTACATGCTGAAACCAATATGTACAAGATCTTAGTGAAATGAAAGAAATAAAATAACGGAGTTTATAACACCATATACCAAGCAAAACCTCATTGAAACAGAGCCCTTTTCTGTATGCAAGTCTGCTTGTTGTAAAGCAACTTCCTGAGGAATGTACTGAGAAAGTGTATGTAAAGCCAAAACAAGAAAAAAACAACAAGAAAAAAAAAAAAAAAAAATCAGGGAAAGTTTTTTTTTTTTTTTTGGTTGATGTCGGTTTCCCAGGCAGGTGAATTCCCTCATTTCCAACCCCAATGAAACAACAGAAAGTAAGAGGAGAATCTTCCCTTTCAACAGTTGTCACCTGAACACATGCCCCCATTGTCAAAATTCCCTTCACTTCCAGTGTACTATCATGGCAGCAACAAGGAATCTAACACTGCTAACCTCTCCCCTAAAAAATTATAGTTTCTGTTATATACTGACCTGTTTGCGGTGTCTAGAATGGCACCAAAAGAACACGCACAGTAGGTTCAGTTTCTAGTCTGCTTCCATGAATTGGCAGCCCATTCAAAATGAATGGTTGTCATAACACAATGTACGATAAAATGCAAGTGCGGTAATAAACTGCTATAGACAGCAAGGGTTTGATGAAGTTCTTCCTGACCCAAAACAAACATGCAGATAATGATATTTGACTTTTACTCTAACTGCATTAATTAAACAAAAGTATTGAAGTCAATAAGTCACTATAACAGTATCAATGGCAGCTTTCTTGTTCAATTCACGCAATTAGCCTGCAAAAGCAATCTTTTCATTATGGTTGCTTTTTTTGACACTGTGGTTTTCCAGATGTGCTTTAGAACATAATTTGGTCTTCTGTGTGCCTTTCTACATCACTGTGCCATCACTAGACCATTTTTTTTCCATGTCTGTTCTTTGACAGACATACCTTCACAAAGCATTTACCTCCCTAAATGGTCAATAAAATACTATAATCCTAATGCATCTTCTTTTCTACTTACTATCACCTGATTGGTTCCTGCTCAATAGTCACCAACTCTAATATCCCCACAACTTTCTCAGTTATAACTTGACTGCCTAAAAAATGCGATTAACGCTCATTTTTTAGAAGGGGAGTGCCATTTTGTCTGCTTGTTTTAAAGAGTATGTAAAAGCAACATTTCATATTCCTGATATGTGCCTATTATACCATGTGCTCATATGAAAAAGTATCCTGTTCTCTTTTTATTGCTTCCTTTGTGTGAATTCCCTGGTATTACTGCCAGTCTCCCTGCTTTCCAACTAAAAACAGACCACACTAGGCATGAGAGCACAGAGTGTGGTCTGATCTCTAGCTGTGCTGGGAACTGAGCCTGCTCTCCTCCAATGATCATACTTGTCCTGACCCCCCCCCCCCCCCCACACACAGCCATTCACAAGAAAGTTCAGTGTGCTGCTGTTTCTCCTCCCCTGCAGCTGAGAACAGAGGGTAATTGCTCGCTTACAGAAAAAAAAAATTAAAAAAGGGGGGGGGGGGGGATGTATGAATGTATTTTTTTTTTTGTTTATATCTATACACAAATCTTTTGCCTTTAATTTCTCTTTTCGGGGACTTTCTTTTATAAAGTGCAAATGCATTTGTGGCTGTTTTAACCAACCAGATATATACGAGCCTGCTGTAAATCCTGCTTTATAATGTAATCTCCTCAACCATGTTACCATTTGGGCTGGAAAAGCTTTGCTTGTCACCTCACTGCAGTTTTAAGTTGGACTTGGATAGCAACCACAGCAAATTAATGTTTGATGACTGAACAAGTTATTATACCATACACCTCTCCAGGATCACTAAAGTAACTCTGCATTTTGCTGAGCAGTCCGCCAAATTATTGCTGGCTATAAGGGGGTGTTCACTACCTAGCACTTGACAAGACTGTTTTCTAAGGGTTACATGTGCCACCCTGGATATTTTAGTCATATTACCTGCTAACTGATCATAATCATTCAGTTTTATCATGGGAGTATATGTTCCATATTATCCAGTGAGCATATTTGATGGCAACTACTGTAGAGGTGTTTACTGTGAAATCCACCACTGCATAAGCTACATTGACTTTATTCCTGTCCATTACTGATAGGATATTTACCTATGGTCTTGCACCCTGCAGCCAAATTTGAACTGTTCCATTTCAAATGACCTCCTTGCATTCAGCAACAACTATTTGGTGATTACAGGTCAAAGTGATACGTGAATGATGGATATTCTAATATACAGTACATGGTTGTCTGAAACTGAATCACACTGTGGGAATTACTTTGACTGGGAGGCACAGTCTATTATGTATTTTTGTATAAAGAAAGTTTTTTGCTTGCAATACAGGTGATCTCCTCTACCATTTCTCCTTATCTAGTTTTGTATATATTTCTAGGATTGAGAACCAAACTGTTGGCAACACTGCCCTTAGATAGAGCTGCTACAACAGTATATCTTTTACTACATTCTGTATAACTTGAAGGTTGATCCCTCTATCTCCAATTATTTATTTTTTTGTCAATCCCCATCAAAGAATCAGCGCCTCCTGGAGCTCGGGGCCTGTGTAAAAGTGTCCATATACAGTTAGCACCCAAGTTCTCTCACATACTGTTCCAATCCCACAGCACTAGGAACGGAATTATTTACCGATTAAACAATATGCACTTAACTCCATAACATCAGCCCCATATATATGTAGGAATGCATAGTCTAGTGTAGAATATTAGACAGCATGTAAAAATCTGAATAATTATTTCACCTTCCACTATCTTCTCCAGCAACAAAATGGAGGTCTTCTGAAGTTATATTATTGTTATCTGGGAAAGAACAGCCTTGATCTGTATGAAAAAAAAGAAAAAAATTGATTTAAGTGAAAAACAGACAGTAAATATGTATATGGTCACTCCCAAGTTGCCCTTGGGCATCATTTATCATTCAACATTCATTTAGTGATACTTTGTCAATGTGTGCCATAAATTGCATATATTGTTATAGAATTAGATGTAAGCTAAATTCTTTGGTAGAAGAATAAGAAAAAAGACATTTGAATCTGTTAAATCACCAGGGAAAAAAAAAAAAAAAAACCACTAAAGCAGATCTACAGTACTGTGAAAACTTAAGAGAGGTTAGAAGAAATGCTGTAAAGTAAGGATGCTTTCAAAAATATATAAATTGTTTATTGTTATTATACGAAAAGCAAATCGATATTTGGTGTGACCACCCTTTGACTTCAAACTTGAATTCTTACACTTGCAGGGATTTTGTAGGATTAGAGTCAGGTGTATGATTAAAGTAGAACTATAGGCAAAACTTTTTTTCCCCATTCTGGATAGAGTAAGGGAGGGTTATAACCCCCTGTCAGTTTCTTTTATGACATCTATGTCCCATTGGGGAGATATTCCGTCACTTCCTGTCCCATAGCCAAAAAAGGAAGCGAGAAAAAATCCCTTCAAATTAAGGGATCCCCTTAATTTTAAGGGATTATCATTGGGGACCCCCAGTTAACTAGAACTAGGGTCCCCATTGATGGGTTTTTGTGGCATTGGTGCAGTAAAAGCTTGACCTGTGGGTTTTTCATTTGTATCGTGAACAATTCTTCTGGCAGTTGTGGCTGCAATCTTTCTTGGTTTACCTGTACTGGGCTTGGTATCAAGAGATTCCCCGAATTGTCCACTTCTTAATAAGTGATTAAACAGTACAGATTGGTATATTCAAGGCTTTGGACATCTTTTTATATCCTTTCCTATCTTTATAAAGTTCCATTAACTTGTTATGCAAGTCTTTTGACAGTTCTTTTCTGATCCTCATGGCTCAATATCTAGCCAGCTCAGTACATCCATGTGAGAGCTAACAAACTCATTGACTGTTTATGCACAGATACTGATTGCAATTTAAAAAGCCACAGATGTGGGAAATGCACTTTTAATTGCCATTTTAACCACTTGCCTATCGGGCACTTATACCCCCTTCCTTACCAGGCCAATTTTCAGCTTTCAGCGCTGCCGCACTTTGATTGACAATTGCGCGGTCATGCAACATTGTACCCATATGAAATTTTGATCATTTTTTTCTCACAAATAGAGCTTTCTTTTGGTGGTATTTAATCGCCACTGGGCGCTTTACTTTTTGCGCTATAAATTAAAAAAAGTGCAAAAAATTTGAAAAAAAAAAAAAGTTTATTTGTTTCTTTTATAAAATTTTTCAAACAGGTATTTTTTCTCCTTCACTGATTTGCGTTGATGAGGCGGCACTGATGGGCACTGATAGGCGGCACTGATGGGCACTGATAGGCACTGATAGGCAGCACTAAAGGGCACTGATAGGCAGTACTAATGAGGTGGCACGGATAGGCGGCACTGATAGACAGCACTAATTAGGGGTCACGGATAGGCGGCACTGATATGCAGCACTGATAGGTGACACTGATGATGGGTACTGATAGACGGCACTGACTGGCATCACTTCTGGGCACTGACTGGCGGCACTGACTGGCACAACCCCTGGGCACTGACTGGTGGCACTGACTGGCAGCACTGGTGGGTGGCACTGGTGGGTGGCACTGGTGGACAGCACTGGTGGGTGGGCACAGGTGGGTGGCACTGGTGGGCACAGGTGGGTGGCACTGGTGGGCACAGGTGGGTGGGCACAGGTGGGTGGCACTGCTGGGCACATGTAGGTGGCACTTCTGGGCACAGGTAGGTGGCACTGCAGAGTGGCACAGGTGGGGGCACTGCTGGGCACAGGTGGGGGCACTGCTGGGCACAGGTGGGGGCACTGCTGGGAATGGGTGGGCGGGGCTAGTGGGCGCACTGCTGATCGGAACTTGCGGGGGTCACTGCTGGGCACCGATCATCAGGGCACTGATCATCAGTGCCCTGATGATCGGTGCCGATCCCCGCTCTGACAACTGCCGGTTCTCGGCAGTACTTTCCTCACGATCTGACAGCGTGAGGAAAGTGCAGCCGAGAACCGGCACTTGCATTTTCCTGTGATCAGCGTGTCATTGGACACTGCTGATCACGTGGTAAAAGGCCGGTGGGATCGGCCTTTCACCACATCACGTGATCAGCTGTGTCCGTAGGACACAGCGATCACGGAGATCGCCGGGTGCGCGCCCCCTGGGGCGCGCAGGAGAGCGCGTTCTGGGAGGACGTCATATGACGTTCACTCAGAACTGGCCAGCCGCGGTGAAGCCGTCTTTCGGCTATGCGCGGTCGGCAAGTGGTTAACCCATGTGTCACCTTGTGTGTCTGTACAAAGGCCAAACATTCCAGGGTATGTAAACTTTTGATCAGGACCATTTGGTGATTTCTGTTATCATTAGGATTTAAAAAGGAGCCAAACAACTATGTGATAATAAAAGGCTTGTTCATATAATCACTATCCTTAAATAAAAGACATGTTTTTGGCATGATCAGTCATATTCTCAATATCAATGTCAAAATATCATGATTTCTGCCAGGGTATACAAACTTTTGAGCACAACTGTATAATTAGAAAATAACTGTGGGTGCTTTAAATTACACTTGATCTACTAACTGCTTTCCAAATCTGTTCTTTGCATCCCTATCTTGTGCTCCACAAAATTTCTGTAGGATATTAGTATATCCATATTTTAGCTCTTTCAGGGGATAACTGATTGCTTTCCTGTAAATTAAAATCCATTGCATCTACATGTAGGATGTATATCAATGCAGATGTCAACAAACTAACAGATTTTGAAACACAAGTATACTAGAAGCATTAAAAAAGGGAAAATATTATCTGATAAGAAGTATAGTTAAACTAAAGTGCCATGAAGCACTGTGAGACCCTTAACAGAAGTAAGAGCTGAAAAAAAAAAATGCAACTTCAGAAATCGCAATGTACATATCGCCATCTAGTGTTTACTATGCAGCAGACTTCACAGAGAAACTTATAAAATCAATCATTTATTATCAGTATTCAAATGATTAAATGACTGCAAGTAGGCCCAGCATTGGCAACCATTGTAGTGGTACCACCAAATCTATGATGTATGTGAAAAAACTGTTAAGTAATTTCCTATACCATAAACAAAAATATATAGGAACGTTTGGATAATGGTGTGAATAACAACTTAACCATCTATTAATTTTACAGACCTAAAACAATAAAATAGAATTACAGGGTAGGTCACATGAAGAACAACTAGCAGAAGATGCAACAACTTGATATGAGATTGAAAAAAACAAAACAAAAAAAAAAAAAAACACACAAGAAAACACACACAGGAATTTCACATTTCCAAATCAACGGCAATGGTGTTATATTTGCTGAGGATAGTTTCTGAACCTGTAGTGACCAACAAAAAGGACAGGAACGTCCATACCTGCCCAAGAACAAAATGAAAAAAAAAATAAATACACACACACACACACACACACACACACACACACACACACACACACACACACACACACATATTGCCAAAAGTATTGGGACACCTGCCTTTAAACTTTAATGGCATCCCAGTCTTAATCCCTCAGGTACAATATTGAGTTGGCCCACCCTTTGCAGCTATAACAGCTTCAACTCTTCTGGGAAGGCTGTCCACAAGGTTCAGGAGTGTGTCTATGTGAATGCTTGACCATTCTTCCAGAAGTGCATTTGTGAGGTCAGGCACAGATGTTGGATGCTCTAATTTATCCTAAAGGTGTTCTATCGGGTTGAGGTCAGGACTCTGTGTAGGCCAGTCAAGTTCCTCCACCCCAAACTTGCTCATCCATGTCTTTATGGACTTTGCTTTGTGCACTGGTGTGCAATCATGTTGGAACAGGAAGGAGCCATCGCCAAACTGTTCCCACAAAGTTGGGAGCATGAAATTGTCCAAAATGTTTTGCTATGCTGATGCCTTAAGAGTTTCCTTTATTGGAACTAGGGGGCCAAACCCAACCACTGAAAAACAACCCAGCACCATAATCCCCCCTCCACCAAACTTTACAACTGGCACAATGAAGCCAGGTAAGTACCGTTCTCCTGGCAACTGCTAAACCCAGACACATCCATCAGATTGCCAGATAGAGAAAAGGGATTTGTCACTCCAGAGAACGTCTTTGCTGCTCTAGAATTCAGTGGCGGCATGCTTTACACCACTGCATCCGCCGCTTTGCATTACACTTGGTGATCTAAGGCTTGGTTGCAGCTGCTCGGCAATGGAAACCCATTCCATGAACCTCTCTATGCACTGTTGTGCTAATCTGAAGGCCACAAAAAGTTTGGAGGTCTTTAGCTTTTGACTCTGCAGACAGTTGGCGACTTCTGCGCACTGTGCGCTTCAGCATACTCTTACTTTGCTCTGTCATTTTACGTAGCTTACCACTTTGTGGCCGAGTTGCTGTTGTTTCCAGTTGCTTCCACTTTGTTATAATACCACTAACAGTTGATCGTGGAATATTTAGTAGTAAGGAAATTTCACGGATGGACTTATTGCACAGGTGGCAACCTATCATGGTATCACACTTGAATTCACTGAGCTCCTGAGAGTGACCCATACTTTCACAAATGTTTGTAAAAGCAGCATGCAAGCCTAGGTGCTTGATTTTGTACACCTGTGGTCATGGAGGTGACTGGAACACTTGAATCCAATGATGGGGTGCCCCAATACCTTTGTCAATATATTGTATATATTTTATTTATCTTACATCAAAAGGAATATACCGTGTTTTTTTTCTCAGATATATGTACGCAAAAGAGAGCAACTTGAACATTGCATGGTAAGTGTATATTGATGCAGCCATATTGGTTCATTACATATGCAGGTTAAGCTTCTCCATATGCAGTGTTTTTACTGTTTCTTCTTACAAAACATAATGTGAATCAACCAATTCAAAAGAACATACTGCCTATCTAGCTCACATCTTCATATAAACAGTAGTTACAGTGGCACTAAACCCAAAAGCAAAAATTTATTATACTGTAGCTTACAAATTCTTAGATGTGATAACTGCATTTGCTTTCTTTAGGCTCTGACTTATTTTGTCCTGGTGATCCTGTCAGTCGGTTTTTCAACAGAACAAGCTGTCCAAAAGGAGTCTCCTCTGTCCAGAGTGTAGGCATTCTAATGCAGACAGTGTGTTACTGACCAGATGAAAACAGAGGAGAAAAAAGCCTAAAGAGAAAACTAATTCAGCCACCACATCGAATCATTGGTAAGGTGCTATATGTTATATTTTTAGCTTTGGATTAAATAGCAGAAGTAGCTGTAAGTAGTCAATGATGGCTCCCTCTGGTGGTTAGTCTACAAATCTTTATATTTACAAAAGACAACAAACTTAGAATTTACAATTTGAAAGTCATAGCAACTATTACTTTTAGAAAAATGCTGCTATAATACATTCAAAACATACTGAATATCACTGCAAAATAGGAATTCTGTACTCATTGTAAAACCATATTTTCCTTTCTCATCCATTGTAGGTCAGAGGAAGGCATTCACCTTTGGGACATCCAGAAACAGTCTGACTGAAGGGTGGGCAACCCAGTAAACAACAGCTAATAGGTCCAAAGAAGCAACATAAAATTGGGGACAGCCTGCACCTCATTGAGCCACCTAAAAGATCCTATGTCTGAAGCAAAGCCACGACATCCACCTGACAGAACTTAAAGAATGTATGAACAGAAAACCAGGTGGCAGCCTTGCAAATTTGGGAAACTACTTCTTGGGTTTTGAGCATCAAGCAACTGTTACAGATTTAATAGAATGCATCTTAACAGGAAAGGGCTGAACCTGGTCCTTGAGACCGTAAGCTTAGAAGATGGACTTTCTTAATCATCTAGAAAAAGTAGAATGAGGAGCTCATGCACCCTTACAGGGATCATCCAGGATAAAAAAAAAAGGGAATCAGATTGGGACATGCAGGCATGCATCCTTGATGTTGACATAAGCTATAAAGTCTCCCTGGTGAGGGATGGCAATGACACACATGGTATATTCTGTAGAGACAGTCAGTGATTTTTTTTAGATCCAAGATGAGGCCAGATGACCCCATTGGGTATGGAAACCGTGAATAGGTTGGAGTAAAATCCCCAAAAACATTCTGCAACAAGGATTGGTGCAATGGCACCTTGATTCAGTAGACCCAAGAAGGCATGATGGAGATCTGTAAATCTGTGCAGTGACACAGGATAGTTGGAAGTAAAAAAAAAAACATGCTGAGGGGAGGAACAAAACTCCAGTTTGTACCTCATAGAGACAACCTCCGGAACCCAGTCATGTGAAATGCAAGTTGATCCAGTGCTCATACAGGTGAAGGCCCCCACACGCTAGAGAGTGGGGACACACCTTCATGTTTGTCTAAGGATTTGGTGGATGTGGATGGAGAAGAAGTGGAGTAACAAAAAGGGAAATTTTTTAATGGATAGTGTGAGAAAAACACTTTGTAATCTTAGATTTCTTCTTCTAAGTAATATGCATACTTTTGCCACCAGTAGCATCCTTGATAATGATATCCAAAGCAGATCAAAACAGACTTTTTCTCCCAAAAGCCATGCGGATCAGACAAATCTTTAATCCAACACTACGAAAGTGTCCTCTGCATGTTTATGGACAGGACACGTGAAAAAGTAGACAGGAAACTTCCAGTGGCTCATCACAACTGTACCCTAAAGCGGTATTAAACTCAAAACCAAAAACTGAAAATATTGCAGCTTACTAGTCATTAGATGTGGTCACTGTATTGGTTTTCTTTTTTTTTTCCCCAGACTTTTTCTCCCCTCAGTTTCCACCCGGTGATCTGGCCAGTAACACAACTCCTGTATTGGAGTGACCCGCACTCTGGATGAAGGGGCACAGGGGGCAGATTTGGACAGCGGCATTGTCAGTCTGGGGGGATGGAGTGTTAGATGTTCAAGCAGATTTAGATACATCTAAAAAAAATTAAGCCAAACTCCAGCTCACAGTGCAGCTCTATACAAGCAGTTATAGCAACAGTTTTAGTTTTCTTTTGAGATAAAGGTTTTTAACTGTATAAATAAAAACTGATCATTGTAAGCACCCCTGTCAGTGGTAAATGATTTGTCTCACTACTAACTGCACATCTGCAGGACAGCTTGATCTTTTGAAAAACAACAGACTGGCAGGATCTAATGGTGAAAATAAGGCCTAAAAAAGAAAACTAATGCAGCCATGACATATAAGAATTTGTAAGATTCAAGATAATAAATGTTTGCTATAGGGTTCAATACCACTTTAAAGCTACAACCATTTATTTCACTCTGGTCAAGAGATCAATCGCAGCAGTGGCAAGTTCCCTTTTAGGACTTTTAGGATCAAAGTTTGAAAAAGCAAGGCCAGCGCCAAGATGGGATGAAACACAGGGCCTACCAATAGGAACATAGCTCTAGAGAAGGCTTAGAAACTTTTTTTTTTTTTTTTTTTGTGGGGGGGGAGGGTCCTTAATACCAGGTGCAACATCAACAGTCAACTTAACTTTAGAGCGGTGCACACAACAAGAGCAAATACAGTTGCTTAATTTGGGAGTAATGGCAGAAGACTGACTCCTCAAAGGGAAACTTGTTAGGTCAACATTGGAGCAACTCAGGATTAAAGTATCAGCAGATGATGGCTCAGGGGCAGTGAGTAAATAAATTAGATACAGAATCTGTGAGAGAGGGTGCTGGACTGTGTAGTGAGATTCAGCAAACAACTGGGTGTTCTGGACAATCAAGTCTTGCATGACTGTAGTATAAAACTCAGGTCAACAGGGCAGAGGAACTGGTCACACATGGAGAAAAGAAAGTCTAAGCAGAATAGACACACAGGGGTTTATTTACTAAAGCTGGAGAGTCCAAAATCAGACTCCCTTCTGCATAGAAACCAATCAGCTTCCAGGTTTCATTGCCAAAGCTTCATTGAACAAGCTGAGGTTAGAAGCTGATTGGTTTCTATGCAGAAGGGAGTCTGATTTTGGACTCTCCAGCTTTTGTAAATAAACCCCACAATGTCCAGCCCAGGTGGGGCTGGACATGGGCACTCCAAAAGCCAGGTTGAGGAAGGCTGGATACTTGCAACATACAGAATATAAAACAAAAGCTGTAGCAACAGAACATGTAGAGAAGAGCCTTGAAGAAAAAAAAATGAAGAGTAACAAACCTTTGTAGGTTCAGGAAAGTGTCCTGAACCTACAAAGAACATGAATTATATAACACTGTATTCACAAAGGTAAGCATATTTCCCCACACACTGCACATTGTTGCCAGCTATTTCAACGTAAGAGGCCTAAAGTACGTATACATTTTCAGTAAATGTACAGAAAAAAAAAATCTATTTATGATCTTCACGCTTGTGATCACACAACGCATATGTGCTGCCTTGCCATGGTTGTCATGACAATCAATGGCCCTTAAATCATACACACATGCTGACCAATCATACATTTTTTAATGTAATTTACAGGATGCAACTTAGATACACTAGACTTTTAATGACATGAGGTATAGTGCCTCTTTGTTTTGGTTTGCTATTACAGCAATCTGAACAAAAAAAGGGTGAACCGGAAATGAATCAGCAGTTCTAAATTTAGAACCTACTGTCATTTTACTAGGAAATCTGCAATCAATTTCACAAAACAGGATGCACTCTCTCACCTTCACCTGAAGATTGTGTTGTGAATGTTTCATTGAAGCCAGCACAGTTAAGGCTTTCCTCTTGTTCCTCATTTTCTGTATCGCACTCAATGTCACTGTCACTGCTCATACCTGGCAAAATGTGAAGAACGTGCTTGGAACACACTGTAGCTGTCAGAAAAAAAATTATATCAGAACACAATATCTTGAAAACCAATCACAACAGCGTATACAGTCTGAAATAAAAATATTATCTTCGGTTTAATCAGCATTGTACTGTACAATGTATAGTAATGCATTTTGAGCAACTCGAAGGGAGGAAGCACTGAAAATGTTAATTCAGTAATCTTGCAAATTAGACTAAATAGTACAGTAGAACACATCACGCTGCAGTGACTAAGCGTGAAAAACGTCTCTTATACCATGTCACTGAAAGACCTTCTCTAAATGCCAACACCTACACACTTTTCACATGCTGCAGATAGGGATGGATGCTGGCACCTTAATATAAGTTCTCTACTACAAGCTATCAGTCATTGAAATTTAAATGAGTGCAGGGGTGGAAGAATGCAGAGATTTAGCAAGAAATAAATAAAATACACTTTTGTATTACAGATCACTTACAAAAACCAAGATGCGTGCAGCTAACACAGCCAGCAAACAATAGATGTTGTTAAGAATTGTGGCAGAATTGCCTACTGGGTAAGCTTTGTGATTCAGATCATACCAATTTTTCCCTAGTATTTCAGGCTCCTAAAGAGGTTTGTGTATAAGCACGATGGAACAAATTTCAGCACAAAACCTAATTTTGATTACTGCTTGGGAACATTATGTTATTCTTTCCACCTGCAGCTTGCATATTTACATACAATGTATGGGGTCACAATGTGGAGTTGGCTTTATGGCACAGATCATCTGAAAGCCTTTTCTGCAAAGCTGGAGTGCCGCACCCTTACCACCTGGATAGCATACAAAGTCAGCTGCTGCTGGTAACATAGAACAAAAGCCATAGTCCAGGCAAAAAATGTATTATACAGTATACAATATTTTATGCATTAAAGAACAAAACAGGAATTCTACCACAATAATTTGATTTTTTGAGCTGCTCATTTTAGAGTATATGTTCATTTATCATTAGAGAAGGCACCTAACCGAACCCAACAATTTTATCGTTAGCGGAAGTGATGGCTTACTCACTCAAAGATAACCTGTCATGACAGAAAGATGGGGGATTATACCGCTTATCTCCTTGCAAAATTACTAGTTATTAGGCTGTCATGCTCATCTCCTTGCTTTAACATATTCTGAGAAATGAAGTCAGAAAACGTTTGTGCATTAGGAATTATAAATTAATTTGCTGCATATTTCTTTATGGTGAATGACTTATAAAGCACAGAAAACTGAAGGTCAAAGTGGCAGGCAGGCAGGCCACTGAAAGTACTATATGTTTCTGTAACAGTACAACAGATTATGAAGGGGAGTACCTTCTTTCACAAAGACAATTCCCAGAGGGTTCCGGAGACACTCGGTAACCTTTCACTGATTTGTGGATGTGTCATGGAGAAGACTGCTGCTTGTAGACATCCCCTGGACAATAAGCATGTTGCAAGCAGGAATAAGGAAGGCTGCGCATTACAAATCTGCAGTTCTGCATGTTTGAGAGTCAGTACATTGCTGACTTTTTCTGTGGCAAGGACTATTGCCAGGAGCATGTAGGCTCCTCGCAGAGCCAAACACCCATCTTGGTCGAGGTGGAGAATCAAGTGAAACTTCAGGCACTTCCCTGGATATCTTCATGTGTTTTGACACTGCCTGTAATTCGAGGTAATTCTACTAGAGTTGATAACTAGTACTGATTTAAGGATAAAGTTTAAAAAAATAAAAATGCAGGTTCCAAAGTATAAGTCTCCAACTGCCTTGTGTGCAATGTTAGGGATGCACTGCAAGTTGTGGATGGGTATTATCGTGGGCACTACTTTTCTGTTTAGAGTGCTGTTCTAGCGACTTAAATGGCATCTTGTAAATTGCCATAAGCATGCTAATTTTCTCAAAGATTTGCACCATGTCTGTTAGGCATAAGTAGGAACATTTCATACATGGTTAATCCTTTTGGAAGCAGAGAATCACTGTAGTATTTGCCACAACTACAGTGATCCTAGTTGTCTTCTAGACTCCATACTGAGTAGCTGTTGTGGTGCTTGGAAACCACCGGGGGTTCAGAGACAGGCTTTTCTCAATGAATACAAGGCATTCTCTGATTGGACAAGGTGAAGAATGATGTCACAGCCCACCCTGACCAATCAGAAAACAATGAGCATTCCTTGAGAGAATGCAAAGCACTCCATGTCAAGCAAACCACCCCCCCCCCCCCCCGTGGTTACCAACATAATTATGCAAAGAAAACAGCAGAGAACAGCACTTTAGCTTTAAGAACCTGTCACCTATTTTCTAGAGACATTCTGCAAGATCTTCATATAAAGTATAAAATTAAAAAGGAAAACTTCCTACTGCATCTACCATACAGAATGCCCCATGTACAAATGTTAGTGGTGAGAGTTCCTCGCTGCTATCAATAAGACTGAATTCAGATAAGATTAATTGAGTGTAATTGAGCTGTAAAAAGCAAGCACATGTAGGAAAAATAAAAACGCTCAATTTCAAGAAAGCAAATTTTCCAAGGCTGAGAGCTGCTCTCCAAGACTAAGACTGGTCGGGAATATTGGCATCGATGAACACAACACAGAAATGGGAGTTCTTCAAAAAGACTGTATGTGAACACACTGAAAAATATATCCCCATGGGCAACACGTTTAAAAGGCTAAAAATCAAACCTATATGGTTTACGGCCAAAGTTAAAAAAGCTATAGATAATAAGAAAAGAGCTTTTATTAAATATAAAAATTAAGGAACGCTATCATCGTTTAAAGAATATAACAAAGTATGCAAAAAGGAAATAAAGGAAACAAAAATTTAAAATGAACAGATTGCAAAAGATAGCAGGACCAAACCCAACAAATTCTTCAAATATATTAATAGTAAAAAGGACCGGTCCAAGCATGTAGACCCTTTACAAAATAATCTAAAGTGGGTGACTGGGAACAAAGAGAAGGCAAATTTATTTAATACCTTCTTCAGCTCTGTGTATACAAAGGAGCATGGGGGAGCTCTTGTCTATAATAGCCATGGTATTGACACAGCTCCAGATGATCCACATTGGCTCACAACTGATATGATCCAAAATTATTTAGACAGAATAAGGTGAATAAAGAACCTGGACCAGATGGCATACACCCACGGGTCCTTAAATAATTGAGCTCTGTCCTTTCAAAGCCATTGTATCTAATTTTTAGGGACTCTTTAATGATCCCTTGTGAAAAAGTCGGAAGTGACGAAACGCGTCAGGTTCGTGACGTCAGACGCTAGGCCGGAAGGAGCAGCGCGGCCATTTTTAAGGTGGTTTTGGCTTATAAACGGACTTATCGAGGATGGACGGTACCTGTTGATAATGTAAGCTGCTAATAAATTATGTATACCTTATTTATTACTCCACTAAGTTTGCCCCCATTTGTTCTGTGAGGAACAGGGATCCCGATACCCATTGCTACAGGAGGAAAGGATTCAACTGCGCACTCCTACTAAAGGAAAGCATATTCCCAGTGAAAGCAATTCTATCTGGGAAAAGGAAATTTCAGAGTGTTTTGAAAGCAGAAAGAGGGTAATTGTATATTATCCCATATGCAGAGTGGTGGCACCTATTTTTGGCACAATTTTTGAAAGATCACTTATTGTGTATGTGTTGCATCTCACGTATTGCAGTGGCTGTTTCACAGGGCCACTTGTGGAGTGGTGTGTTGATTTTCACCTCACAGGCGTTACCTATTTATTAGTATATATTATATCACCTGTGTGGTTGCATGATATCACTTATAATTAAATTTTATTAAGATAATGCACAATATCTAGTTTATTTTTTCGAGGTTCTTTGGATTGAAGGGAAGATTTGGACATTTCACAGTTTGAAGATTGAAGTGCAAGGACTATAATATTTTTTTAATTTTTAATTATTTTAATTGTAATTTTTATTTTGGAACTTGTAATTTTGAATTTGGGACTTTATCATGGATAGTATATTAACAGTTTGAGACGGTGGGAGAGGTTGTGTGTGTCATTGAAAAGGTTTATGTTAATCTTTAATGACTGGTATAGTACCACTGGATTGGCGCAAGGCCAATGTGGTGCCAATATTTTAAACGGGGTCACAATCTGTACCAAGTAATTATAGACCTGTTAGTTTAACATCTATAGTTGGGAAGATACTAGAGAGTTTATTAAAAGACCATATAGACGAGTTCTTGCTGGAAAAAAATATTTTACTCAACAGACAGCATGGATTCATGAAAGACAGAAGTTGTCAAACAAATCTGATTTCTTTTTATTGGGGGGGGTGAGAAAAACCTTGGATAGAGGGGTGGCGGTGGTCGTGGTATACTTGGATTTTGCAAAAGCGTTTGACACAGTTCCCCACACAAGTTTAATGTGTAAAGTAAAGTCTACGGGCTTGGAAAAATCCGTATGTAAATGGATAGAAAACTGGCTAAAAGATCGTATTCAGAGAGTAGTGGTTAATGATTCATACTCTGAATGGTCTAGGCCTAGGGTTGTCAGTGGTGTACCCCAAGGTTCAGTGTTGAGACCTTTACTTTTTAATATATTTATAAAATGATTTAGGGTCTGGGATCTCAATCTTTGCAGATGACACCAAGCTGTGCAGTGGAATAATGTCCTTACAGGATGTCTTCAACTTACAAGCCAACCTCAATGCACTGTTTAATTGGGCAACTATGTTTACTTGGGCAAATGAGGTTCAATGTTGACAAATGTAAGGTTATGCACTTGGGGGCTAAAAATATGCATGCATCATACATACTAGGGGGAGTACAACTGGGGAAATCAATGATGGAGAAGGATCTGGGAGTTCTGGTAGATCACAAGCTTAATAATGGCATGCAATGCCAAGCTGCGGTTTCAAAAGCGAGCAAAATCCTCTCTTGTATTAAAAAAGGTATAGACTTCAGAGGGAGAGATATCATATTACTCCTGTACAAATCATTAGTAAGATCTCATCTGGAATATGCAGTTCAGTTATGGGCACCAATTCACAAAAAGAAAAT